CCGCCCCCTCCCCCGCCCCGCCCCCCGGCTTTGCCTGGTTGTGGCTATTGAAAGTGCAATATAATAGTTGATCTCACCGTGGGGTCGATCTTGGGCGGCAACGGGATCTGCACCGAGTACTTGGTGCGGTCCACGCCAACGCGCATGCCCTCCTCCACGTCGGTGGGCGACACCTGGCAATAGCACAGCAGGGCACAGCACAGCACCGGGCGGATTGGGATATTTTTGTTCGCAAGCGCAGATGGGTGCAAGACGGGTGGTGAGACCGACGCGCTTGCAGGCAGGCACGGCGTTGGGGAGGCAAGGGGGGAGAGAGGGAAAGAGAGAGAGAGGGAGAGAGAGAGAGAGAGAGAGAGAGAGAGAGGAAGGGAACGGACGACAGCATCGAGTACATGTGCCGTGTCAGCAAGGTTATTCCCTCCCAAGACGTGAACAAATCCAACGAAGCGGCGCCAAAGCAGCCTCGAGGTATCCATCTCTTGCCTTTCCTCGCCTTCAAAAATGGAGACACGAACAAACAACCCGCAAGCGCGAGGAGCCCCGCAGGATACACTGTTTGGATACACAAGCGCAAGACTATCACGCCGGAAAAAAACACCAACCACTGGCGGCATAGGAGCACAATATTCTCACACCACCAAAGAATTTAGGGCATACCGTCCTGCCATCGTCACTCGCAGCGTCTACCCTAGGCATTCGAAGAGGAACGGGCTCAGCAATCCTCTTTTATTTCGGGGACGGTGACACCAAGACTTGGGAGAGTAGGTGCATTCAAGAACAAACGCTGTCCAACGCGTATTGCATACCACACACCAAGTCGAGAAAAATCTCATCGGCTCGCCTCCATACCAAAAAAAAATCAGCCGCCACGGGAGGACTTTACCTGTCACCCCCCCCCCCCCCCCCCCCCCNCCCCCCCCCTCGCGGCTTGACGTTCGACGAGAACCATCCTGATAAGAAGCACACCGCAGCAGTGGCTTACCTTCTCTCCCAGGCCCACGACGAACTTGGCGATCTGTCTAACGTTGATCACGTACTTGGCGTCCTCTTGGCCAGCGTTGATGATCTTTGTGCACCTCGCTACCTGAGACGGGGGTGAAGGACGAAAAATACAAAAAAGGGGAGGGGGATCAGCACAGACAGAAAAAATACCAGCTGAAAAACACAATAATCACGCCGGAAAAGTTGAGTGACGATACGCTAGTTCTGGGGCGGGGAAGGGAGTTGACTAGAACACCGTCCGTTTCCACAAGACTGGAGGGAAGAAGGAGCAGCTTCTTTTCGGTGTGCTTGAGGGGCTACAAGCACGCACGCACACACGCACCTGGAGGGGCTGTTCTTCCTGCATCATCTGCTTGTCCGATACGAGGTCCCATTGGCTGGGCTGCGACAGTCCGGTGTCGGACTCCTTGATACCAATCAGCTCCTTTACTTGCTCCTGAAGAAAATTAAGACAACCAACGCATTTGGAGAGACAACGGCGTGTTCAAGGCGCGGCGGAAAACGAAAACGAACCTACGTGGCGCTCGTGTCGGCCTAGGTCTAGGACAGACAGCGGTGGATGTCTCCGACTTCCCGGCGTAATCGTGTTGTCCGAAAAGCATCGTCGAAGATACCAATGTCGGTTACCCAGCAAAACGTGCGGCACGTTGATGCAGGCGGGCCGTTCGCGTCTTTGGATTCTAGAAAGGTGACACTGTAGATACCACAGCCAAAACCGTGGTACACGACTTCGGGAAAGCGAGGCAAGAGAATACAGCTGACGAGTATGCCTCCCGCCGCGGACCGCCCTCACGAAGATTTTACGACTTGATCTACTTGTTACTGGTATAATATATAGAACGGGACTTCGTATCCCTGACCCTAACCCCAGCCCGTATTCCATGCTAAAACCAAGCATAGCATTCTCGCGAAGGCTAGTCTCCCCCCCCCCCCCCCCCCCCCCCCCCCCCCCCCCCCCCCCCCCCCC